TTAAACATAGAAACGAAATGAATGTTTGAATAACCGTTTTTCCATTACTTGGGTAAGCTTGACAACGAATTTACCTTAAATACGGATGAACGGTTAAATGGAAAGAATGAGCGTACGAGAATTTCTTAAAGAATTTCATTTGAAATATTGACAATAGTAGTGCATCTATGTTCTTTCTAGGTGGCAACACAGCAGTTATGCGAGAAGCAGTTACACTTTGGTTAATACGAAACCCCAAACAACCATTGGCAAAAACAATAAGTTTGATAACATTTGTAATACATTCTTCGGTTTATTTCTATATGGATCTTATATACGTTACAAAGGATTCTATTTTTTAGCGAATTGACCACATATTTTATGCATGGTAATATCGAATAGTGATAATAGTGATTCGAGTACCTGAAAATGTGTTAGTGGGTGTTCGCTAGTCGTTACTATAGGCATAATATTGTTCAATAAAAACGGTGGTATACCATATTATTATAATATCTGATTCGGCACTAAACGCAACCAGAGCTTAAGATAAACCACGAATCACGATTTGAGCCCACATTGCAGGACACGAACAATATTGTTCCTTCGTATACTCTGGTGATGGTACTTACATAATAGGTATCCGTTTTCGTATTTCGTGCTGCATTTTATTTATTTTCGTACGACTGCTACAACCGCAGTTAGCTTATACTTATCGTGAGAATAATAAAATAAAAAAAATATTTGATGAAGTTGTCTAACATTTGAAACCGTATCCCAAACAAAGTATAGGTGTGGGTATACAAATATATTTATCTTAAATAAGTTAAGTGATCAAAGTGTTTTTGACGCATAGTAGCTACAATTTTATTATGACTCTAAAATTCTTAGATGTTGGAACAAAGTATAAAGATTATGTTGGCTGTTTCGTTTTGATTCAAAAACATTATTCGAGGGAACTTTTATATAAATTACAAAATGTACAGTAATAAGCAATGCCATATGCCCATATTATTTCTCAAGATATTTAGACCGAACAATTTTAAGCTATTATATACGTCTACCTGTTCACACTGTTCTGTGGTTAGGCGGTGCTGACTCGACAGTTAATATCAATAATATAATATAATATACCGTCCTTTAGCTAATAAATGTTGGGTAGATTTAAGTTTATTGTTTTGACGATGACTTATCAACGAAAAAATGAAGTCACAAAATAAAAATTACGAATATAGAAATACCGAAAAGCGATTGTATTCCCATTTAACTGTATTGTCATGGATAAATTAAGTACAAATATTATGTACGTCACGCCGAAGTCAACGGATGTACGTGCCGAGGAATTAAAATATTTATATAACACGCTTACCGATCACGAACTGTTTGAGCTGCAAATCTTAAAAAGGAACAGCTCGAAATAAAGGATGGTTGCAGCGGGTGCGTTGACGCAGGTACCCGCTGTATACATGTGACTGTTGGCGCGAATAAACGAGCAGAGATAAGATAAAATGGATGGAAAACCTAACATATATTTGCAGTATTAGTAAGTATAGTATAAATTACCATTCGTTCGGAAGAACTAGGACGTTTCGGCGGAGCCGTTTCAGCGTAAACCCATTTCGACATAAATCCCTTCATTTTCATTCTTTTTTCATACAGATAATGATTTTAAACTCGCTGCGTACTGCTATAATATCATTTCAAATGCGCATAGATATGATAATGTTTTTTCTATCTCACTACCAGATGGGCATTGTACAATATTTTCACAATGTTCAAACTCGCACAAGACGTACAAAATGCTATATTCAGTTAATTTAAAATGTATTTCAAAATATAAACAACCGATGTGTATGGAAATAGGTGTTTACAATTTTATGATGAATACTTAAATATTGATCTTCATACACGCCTTTTTTACTATATAAAACGCGGAAACGTTTACGCTGAAATGGCCACTTCGAAATGTCAGAGATTGCATGCCATCAATTAACGTTGAATGCAATTGCATAGGACGTAACTAATAGTATTTTGTCTTCAAAGATATTACCAATTCGAAGAGATTTGTTTGTTTTAATACTGCATTGTCAGTATAAGTAGGTTCTAATAGTGCTATCTATGTGCCATGAGCGACTCGGGAGGGGAGACAAATTAGTGACCCAAGTACTAATAAGTACTGCAGAGTCATTCGGACCACCCAAAGTACACATTTTCGTGTATACAATTTTCAAGGCAAGACATTTTAATTTCAAATGAAGTTATTTAAATCAGTTAAGTCTATTGTTTAAAATAAATGAATTTCGAATAGATTCAGCGATTGTAATTAATTTTGTCATCAAGCGCGACTTGACAATTAAGACTTGAAAACTAAACAAATACTTAGCAACAGTCAACAGATATAGGTGCACGACGACCGATCAAAAGTCTGGACAAACAGTCGCATCTGTGTGTGCCCCCTTCCATTTTGGGATTAAAAAAAATTGTATGGTGGTGCTTGAGCTCGTCGACCTTACTGTCCGACGTTTGCACGTCTTGATGCTCGTTACACAAATACTGTTGCTTATAACTTATTAACTTTGGTTTCAATAATAAAACAATACAAACAGAAGACATATTATTTTTTATTTATTTTTTTGAACAGGTGTTTAGTTGAATTACTTATATACTATACTTATAAGCACATAATTACATAATGAGATAATGAGATAACGGGATTATATCTTCTAAAAACGGGGCAAAAGCGTCCCATTCGAAGGTTGTCGAGGCGTACGGGGACATGAGACTTTAAAGATCGACAGTCCCAATTTAAACTGAACAGGGTATGGCCACCCTAGCCCAGTGGCGGCGCAAACTTTTTGAGTCTTTGAAGCAAATTGTACATTTTTAATATTTTTACCACCAACCATCTCCTTCATTACATTAAAATGATAATTTACTATGTTAACTATCATATTTGTTGTGGCAATAACTGTATTGAAGTGTTACAATTTTACCACCGGCACCCACGACCCGCCTATATTAGACACGAAGCAATTGCTTCAAATAGTATTATATCCCTAGCCTACGTCCCGAGACTGTGGTAGCCGGTTGCCTAACTCTCAGGGGTAGAGAACGCCAAAGTGCAGCTTGACGATCCCCTCGGCAATCGTGGCCACACTATTTTGTTGCAGTGTTACGCAGCCGGTAGTCTCACTCGCTCCAGAACAGATTTGTCAATTATTCACTAAGATAATCTTGTTGGCTCAACATCAATAAACCATTTATCAATTATTCATAATATAGTTTTGTCAATATGATTGCTACATGATCGGTCGATGGCTACATGGCATTCTATAACCATACTACCACCGGACGACCTTGGCAAACATTTCTATACGACCGATCGTATATTATTATTATTGTCAACAAACTATATTTCATATTATAATATTATCATATATTTTATCATGACATGATATTATTGTGTAGATCTCTACTATCTACAATCCACATAATAATTACGTATATCCGGTATCCACGGTCCACATATTATTTCATATTATCTTGTAAACAGAAAAAATATTACAACTAAATCCATGTAATTTAATGTATATTATAATTTTTCACAATATGTTTGTTATATTATATAATTTATAAAGTTGTTACATTATTATTTAACTGACAAATAATCATTCACAATATATCAGTAATAATATTATTATATTATAATATATATATTATGTCGATAAACTAAACTAAAATTAAATTTTGTTTAAGTTAATATAATATATTATTATATAGGTAGATTGAAGGCGGTAAACCAATAATATACAAATCATATAGGTCTATAATAAAAACACTTGAAAATAATAAAAGTAATCGAAATTTGTATTCAACATAGTATAGATTTATAAAATATTATTCATTCATGAGTCCATTAAAATATATAAATAATAATAATAATAATAATATAATGTTATATAATTTCGTTAGTATACCCACATGTTACACGTATATGTATACTATACCATGATTTTGACTGGTAAAAGGCAAAAGGGGTGGTTTTACTTCTTATGTATTCAAATTGCATGGGAGAATTTCAAAAATATCATTAGTAAGCAAAATAATATGTCTCTAGTCGTGACATTTAAATTAAATATTGTCAGAGGAACACTATGGCGCTTATGACTTCAAAAATGTATCCAGTTTACCTGTAGGTCAAGTTGGTTAACTCATAGGCCATAGAATATAGGCCATTCCGTCAAGCCGCCACTTTTACCTTTTATCAGTATAATATTATATCCTTATAAACTTTTAAATTATAACAACATTTATGATTATGATTAATATATTTTTTATTATTTATTTGTAACATTGTTGTGATATTTAATAGTTTGGGTTACATGTAAAAAGTTAGTATATGACTACTGGTTATAGTCATTGCAACTATTTATAGTTAATATTATACTCCTTTTTTTTACAAATAAAATACATATTTCTTTTTTTAAATATAATATAGTCTTAATTCAATCATAAAAATTAACCCGAATCGCAATGACGCATTGTTTGACACTGTTATTTATTGTTAACATTTAAAATTTAAGACAATACACGCATGATACCAAAATACTCTTATTTCTTATTAGGTATAAATACTCTTAAAATAAAATAATATAGCACTCTTATTTTAAATAGTATATAGGTATATATTTAAAATGTATATAATATAACCACATAGAGAACGTATATAAAATTCTTATGGGGATTTAATCAATTAGAACAATATTGTTCTAAATTATTCGTACAAAATATTGTCTGACGGTGACAGTGTGACACATACAAGTTAAGTTGGAAAATGTATAAATATATTTAAAAATCGTAACTATAAAAAGTACACATTTTATTGACATACATTGAATAATAAATGATTATGATAAGTATCAAACAAATTATTATATAATGAGACTTATACATATTGTACATTATTTTATACCTACTAATTTGCAATCTAGGCTCATTTTTATGTATAGATAATAGATATATTATAGATATACAAATACCTTTCACTTACAAATAATATTCAATCTGCATATTCTATAAAGTATACATTTTTTTTTTTGAGTCTTAATAAGAGTTACACATTTAAGGTCATTAGCCTGATTTATTTAGTTGGTTTATTATTGTGGGGGATGGCACGGTTGGTTCGGTTCTAAAAGTTCTAACTTAGAACACGTGTAGTGAGGATTTTTCACTAAAAATTCGGACGATCATCCATCCAACTAGCTACTTAACCTCTAAACAAACCTTAGCCGTAAAATATAGATTTATAAATTTATTTTATAAAATAAAAAAATAAAAAATGTAGTTATTCAGATTATCACTGTAACTTAAAAATAATCATTTCTGTTAAATGCGTGTTTAAATATTTAAGTTTAGAATATATTTAACTAAGTAACCTTTAAACCTAAAACGTCTAATAAGGGGACGTGTTGAATTGTTATGAATTATTATTTATTTTTTCAGATAAATAAGATTAAGGTCTATATTATGCAATATAAAATAGTAAAAGATGTAAGTATAGGTACTTATTTAATTTTATTACAATTTGATAAAATAAGCAATAAAAATATGACATAAAATATACAACGAAATTATCTTTGATGATCATTAAGTAAAACCAAAGTTATTTTTCACCGAAAAAGACTTTATCTTAAATAAATCAATTGTATTTTTAAAAGTTTATTTAATTTTTTCATTAATGACAGAATCCCCGATTTCATAATTTTTAAATTAGCAGTTTACCTATAAGCATCTAAGCCGTACTTCCATTTGAATATATACCTATTACCTACCATAAAGTATGAATTTTTCATGTTTATACTTAAGGTTAGATTATGTGACAATAATATTATGCATTTGGTATTATACTTGCAAAATGCAAAATAAAAATTATAATATTTGTATCAATGGTGCCATTCATGGTTTGATTAGGGTTAGGTATTATTACTAGTGCTGAGGATTGAGGACTTCTTGCAGTCCGGTCATATTTTTTCTATAAAGGTCGTAGAACTAGAACAATAGGTATAAATATGTTACATAACACAAGGCCACTATAGTTAAAATTGTATTTCAAATGTATTTGCATATTTTGTCATAACTGCATATGAAATATGCATATTTAAGTAGGAAGTTTTATAGGAAAATTCGAGAATAAATTTTTCAATTTTTCGATACAACAAAGTTTTAAGATAGTGTCGAATGAGTTTGGACAGATAAAAATACATAGTAGGTATAGATAATATTCGGTATACAGACAATAATTTCACACTATTGCGTGATCGGATCCAGACCGAGATGATTATTCCACCGTATCAAAAAGGTGCCACGAATATTACACTCAAGTTCACCGCAAAGCATGTAAGAAATTAATCTTAGTTGTCAGTCATAATTTGTCAGGAGATAACCTATCGTAGTATGATATTCGTCAAGTGTATTACGACAAGTAAATGACGAAGGGAGAAATTAATTGTTCAAGTTTTTATTTTATTAACTCTCTCAACGTACCCATAATTGTTTGTATTTGAATTTTTATTTTAAACAAATATAATTTATAAAATTTTTAAATTTTTTTTGTACAATTTATAATGTAAAATACATTTATTTTAGAGGATAATATTTGAAGTGCACAAGTTCATATTTTAAGATAGTACTATAAGTTCAAGTCATTATTCATCACTAACCATATTTATAAATGGATGAATAAAAAAAAAATTAGCAATGCCTATACAATTCTATAGTCTTACTGATAGTAACAATAATGATTGAAAATTCACTAGAAATAAGGGTGACTAGGCAAATTTAAAAATGTTACCATTCATACACCTAGACAATAATAATATAAACTAAAAAAGTATCAAAGTTCAATAGATTCCATTTTATAACAACCTAATTTATTTTGTCGTATTAGTTCAATAATAAATATTGTATAGACTTATTTTTTTTCAACAAGAAATACAAATTAATATCAAATGATTTCTACAGTGTGACTTTTATAGTTGGATACAAAACAAAAACATTTAAGTAGAGATAAAGTAAAGACAGTAAGAGATAGTAAAGATTGAACCTATCTTTGATCTACTGAGCACGAACTAATACCCAACTAATCCTAAACGAAGAAACGAATTTTTAAACACGCGTGCGCCAACTCGTATCACAATATTATTGGTCGAACATTGCGAGTGTATAGCGATATCCGATAGTGATAATGACGACCGGCAAATGAGCCGCCCGACGACTCGGCGCAGGTTTCAATATAAATATTAAAAATCAATCGGATAGATTATTTCATTTTTGCATGTTTTTATATTAATATTACAGTACACGCCTCAACGATATTATAAGTGTTAATATTACTGTGTAGTGCATTATCGGTGAGGTAATGCTTAAGACTGTTCCCCCTTCATATTTTAATCGTTCACTCCGTTCCACGTTATTTACGTTTGAGATTGTGCGGTTTACATTTTATTGTAAAAGTTTCCAGAGTTTGCACATGGTCTCGCATGTATATGTTTATTGTTTTCGTATCGTTACTCAATGAAATGTATTGTTTGTGTATGCGTTTAGTAGTACTGTGGCTTGATAATGGACTGGCATCGTGCCGACTTGGTTTCATAATACAATAATATTACTATATATAAACTTCATTTTTTTTTCAATAGTTAGATATTATACATATGATAAATAGGTATTATATATTTGTTAACACTTAGCACTGTTTGTTGTAAGCGAAAATAAAAATTAAGTATGATTTTTAAGTCGTTTAAATGCGACCAACTGCGATTTATTATACAATTTTGTATTTTAAAATAGCACATTAAACTTATATAATTTATGACCATTGCATAAAAATCATTTATATATTGTAAAGCTATAGAACTTTTTAAAGCTGATTTTACACGACATTATAATATTATGTCATATTAGGTCTCAAAACATTTTTGGGCCTCGAGTATCCATTTGATATTATGCAAATCGTTTATAAGAACAAAATAAATTATTTTACTTATTTCTTGTTCACACCAGCGTCTAAAATAATCAAAATAAGATTATTATTATTATTGTTTTTTATTATAATGCATTATCTTCCGAATTAGGCCACCGTGCAGGAATTTCTTTTGAGCATGTAACGTCCTTTGGTCGATCCTGAACGGTTATCCACGTAATTTGGTAGAGACATACGTCTGCGCCGTACAGCCGGACTCAAATTATATTGAACCTAAAAATACATCAAAGGTTTAATTTCAAGCAACTGCGACGTGAATAATTTATCCCGTTTACCATAGATAATATGTTATTTTATTTCAATTCGTGTTCTCTATTATTTGGTTCTATATTATGATTAAAGGAATACACGCATGACATGTATTTCTATTAAGTTATTAATTATTGTCTTATAATATTGTAATTGAAAAATATTTTCATGGAGATTAAAATATTGAATTTTTCCTTTCCAGTGAACAGCATGGTTTTTATTGATCAAAGATTTGTTACTGTCTAGCCATAAGTTAAAAAAAATAATCATAATAATCAACGATATTAAAGAACACTTATTTCGTTGCTGTTGAGTATTGTAACGTCTCACAATTTATGCGAGGCTTTTGACTTATGTAATTATAAGGACGAGGCCTTCATAGTTTATATTATCATAGAGCAGATGATTATAATATAAAAGTATTAAAATGATTAAATTTCGATTAATAATTAAGAAATTAATTTTGTGTATGTTATCGAAAATGTAAATAGTTCAGCAGACATTGTTATGCATTCTAAATGCATAATGTATTAATACTGTGTTATTTTAGGAAACATTCGTAGGTAATTACAATTTATAATTCAACCATTTTTTTAAAATGTTTTACAAATAATAGGTTTTGCATTTAAAAAAGAAGGTATTTTATAGAAACCTTCACAGTATTAGTTAATATTCGAAATATTTAGTTTAATCAAAATTTAATTATCAATAATCTATATTTATACGTTCAAATATGTAGGTGAGTAATGACTATTTGGATTACATTTTTTAATTTAGCATTATTTTCTGACAGATAAATTTAAAAGCTTTGCCCTATACCTGTTGATTGTTCACTTACCTTTTCAAATATTGAGAAAACGTGTGATGTTTTTTAAAAATATTTGCACTTTTCAAGTGTATTATTGTAATATAATTTATGTTTTCTGATATTATATTATATCTTACGTCGAGTGTTACTGCTGGGTAACTGCTCACCTCGTGCACTCAAAAACATGTAAATTCAGCTAATATGCTTATTGTAACCATTATACTACAGATTATATATTTCTAATAAATGTTAAAAGAAAAAATATGTATTATATTTTACTATAATACTTCGGTGATTTACGTCGGCAAGCGCACCAGAAATACTTTATTTTTCTGTACCTAATTGTCCAACTTATTTTTACTTAACTCTGATATTTTGGTCACTGGCCTAAATATTTAACGTGGTAGACATAAATGAGACTAGAGTGTAACCTTAATTATGATCATTATTTTTTAGATATTATAACGTGACACGACCATATTAAGCTTCATCAAACTACTAGAACCTATCCATGTAGATTGTAGGTATAATAGGTATACTAATGTTATATTATAATTTACATAGTTATATGATAGTCTATCATTCAAAATTGTTAAGTATACATTTAATGGATAAACTTTTTTATACGTCTAGGGTGAGGAAAAGTGATGAGGCTTATAAAAAAAAACGAAATAATAAAAAAAGGTAAGTCGAATTTGTATTCGAAACGAAATTAGTTTTCAACGTTTAAACTTAAACTTATTTATTTATTTATTTACCTTTGCCTGAGCTAAGAGTTCCTTAAACACCTGCACTATGTTTCTATTTTCTTTAGCTGAGCATTCCATGTAGCCACATTCCCAATCGTATTTTGATATCGCTTCGGTTATTTCCACAGGTAAAAATCGTTCAGTGAGTTCACACTTGTTGCCTACGATGACTATTGGAATTTTTGGTCCTCTCCTTTCAATTATCTGATGATAATCATAATAAAATTAGTTGAAAACCGTATTATGGTTGCAAAACCCTGTTTTAAAATATACTTGTTCTTTAAAATGTTTAACTTGATCCCACGTGTCTTCCCTGTCTACACAAAAGACTAAAAGAAATGCATCAGCAGTTGATATAGACAACTCTCGCATGGCTGGAAACTGATAAGCTCCTGATGTGTCCAAAATGTCTAATGTCAACCGTGCTCCATCGGGTAACTCATAGTCTCCTGTAAACGATTATAATATAATTTTTTCATTATTATGTAAAGTATAAAAGAAGTCAACAAAAACTATTACTCGCATTATTATGTATATCTTCCAAGTAACATTAAAGTTACGATCTCGTAATATTAAAAAAAAAAGAGTAATTTAAAATAAAGTCTTTTTCTTCGAACAATTATGAATGCTGTGATAAATTATATCTTTTCCGAAAATCTATTCTCGATGGTGCTTATTTTTCTGTAGTGTTTATGGTCTTATGGTCATTTAAAAAATGTTAAATTAGGTACCTACTCATAATAGAATGCATTATTAAATATTTAAAATGAGTTGCATAGAGTTTCACTCTGAATGAAAAGTTTGATATCTATGAACTTATACAATACAAAAAAGTATAATTAACATAGGTACCATAGTTATACAAAGACGCTTTCGGAATTCCCCCCCCTCCCAACCACCATTATAAATGTATATTGCAAAACGTTTATTGTACACATAATATAAGAATAAAGGTAGGTAATTGAATAGAAAAACAAATTCAACATAGAAAAATAAACAGTAATTTACTGAAAAAAAAACAGTAGGTAGCAATCAAAATATATCTTATCGAAATAGTTTAAAAATAAATAATAATGGAAAATTCATTAACTCAGTGTATAGTAAACATGTAGTAGAAAATAAGAGTTTTGAATGATCCAAATTCTCCGATCATAATTAGAGTTAATTAATAACAGTTTAATTATTTTATATTAACATTTGGAAGTACAATACTATTGCCTATTATATAAACGAAAAAATGACCATAAATTAAGTGTATCTCGGGGCGATCATTGGCTCTAAAAAGGTACCACTCAAAATACATTTTTGCGTGTTTACACACATTAGGTATCGTATATAAAATTATAACCTCGCATGTCATGGATGAATATTACGGACACATGCTATGTTGTGGGATCAGAACCAAAAGGTGCTAACTCGAGATATCAAATTGTTCTGCAGATCAATATTAAGTTTCAAGTGAAATATTATATTTTTTAGCTATGAATAATATTTAATAAATAATAACTGTCAAATCTAAAAATGAACGAAGTTATTCTGTATTAAGTCTTGCAATTTGTTTTTTTTTTGTTTTAAGCAAATTAGCAAAACTTACTGTAAAAAAAAAACGATACTGTAAAAAATTTCACTTGAGAACCAAAATGTTTTTCAGTTATAACCTTATGTGATGGTATATTTTTTCCACCTTGTGTAAACTTTTATGTTCTGAATTAAATATATTTTTTCTAGGAAATATTTTTAGTTTAAAACTTAAAACAAAATATTAAGTGCTTTTCATGTTAAAACCCAAATAATTTGATGGTAGGTTCTATAAAGTTTAAACAGTTATTTATTTTGTTGAACAAAATATAATATTGATAGTATATAATAATATAATATATTATAATATTGTTTTATCTTTTGTTTTTTGTATGGTTCAAAGATTAACACAATGAATATTAAATAGATTGTAATTTTGGTTTATCACTAATTCATTAATTGTATAATGTTAATTACACATATTTATCTTAATACAATAGTTAAGAATTGAAAGATTTTATTTAAATCATTATACAATTACAATTTGTAAATTATATTGATTTAGAACCTTTTAGTTAGTAACTCTTTGATTAATGAACCTAAATGGTTGTTTGTTATTAATTTCTTATACCTACGACTAAAATTATACATATTGATAAAGCAGTTGCGTGTAATTTACTACCTATATTGAGAACTAAAAGTGAGAAAAAATTCGTTTGGTGTTGGTTTTAAAAGGAATAGAAAAGACAAAGTGGACGTACAAGTTCCTAACTATCTATACTCATATTCTACAAGTTATAACTCTTAACTATTGTGGGATCAGGCTCTGGGAAGAATTGTTGAGTTATGAGTTATGAATTTACGATCTATTAATTATTAAATAACATACGATAGTATGTGAACAGTGTAGCGCCAGTTTCCTGTAATATAATGTTACATTGTGTACGAACAATAGCTTTAAGGACATTAAATATAAGAATGTAACACACCAGTTTCATTAATCATTTTAAATTATTAAAATGTGCATTATTAATTATTAAAGGCTAAGTCAGTTTGGTATGGTTTGAATCCATAGCTTTCATATTATATGCGAGTTTAGTAAATCGAACCCAGTAAATTTACATAGTTGTTGGTAAACCGACGAGCAGCACAAAATTAAGTGTTACTAAAATACTTAATAACGTAGACAGTGTCATACGTGGAAAATGTTTGGCCGGATGGTTATTGGTTATCAAAAATTAAATTATGCGCCCGGGTGATAAAGTGATATAATAAGAGCATTTGTGCTTAGATTAGGTGTAAGTTGTGTTATTAGTATTAAATTCTATGCGTATTTCTATAGTCACCCAGAATTACCGCACATTGCTCTATATTATAGATAGGTATATCTTCGAGTCGCTTTGATACATGCCATAATAGAGGTTGGCGTCGAGAAGTAAAACATTTTAAGATAAGTTGGTACTGATAATTTAATAGTCTTAATAATATATGGTCTAACTTCAAAACTAATCTAGTCGGTTTAATTTCGAACACATCATTGTTATTTGCTTTATTATATGAACGAACAATAGGTGTTTAGTATTAATGTTATCAAGCATTAATGATTGTTTGATTTTTATTTTAAACTCTTAAATTACAAAAAGAAACTAAAAAATGAACTCCATCTTATTTTTCCTTGAAAATTTGGTAAACAGTTATGTTGAAATAAATATTTGGTAAAAAATGAGCGAAGTGAGTGTTCAACAAAAACAAATTTTTTTCGTTCAGTTTTAAGAAGATATTAGTATATGTTTTTTCGGTCAGACCCATGTGCAACATAGATAAAAAGCGCTCAAGTAAAGCCGTTTTTTTAAAAGATTTTTGAGTAATTGTTAACTAAAATTACACATTATTACAAAAGTGATACTCTATTTTAAAAATGAAAATACATTTTTTTAAATTTAAATGGATAATAAATTATTTTGTGACAATATTATATAGACAAACCAATATTAAGTCATGCCCTCAAAAATATTTTTTTTATAATTTTTATAATGATTGATTTTAATCTAAGATTACTCAAAAACAAAAATAAAATGATTTTGAGTGAATACATTTGTCTATGTTACGCTTTTGACATATTATCAATTTAAAAATTGACTATAAATGTCTAATCAGTACGATAGTACGTATTTATGATTGGTACATTCAATCAACATAGTTTTCTATTAAAAATGTACTTTACAATATTGACTATAAATTTCCTGGTGTGTACAATTATATCGTAACTTTAAAAAAAAATTCTATTGACATTTGTTTTAGTTTTTTGGAAATATAGTACTATAGCGTTATTACAACACAATTTAGGACCTCCAAGAAAGGATACGTCTTACGTGATGAAAAAGGAGGTACTCCAAAATATTGATTTCCAATTGTACATACAGAGAAAGGGAGAATATATTTTCCCCGATAATAACTTGGTAGAACAGAAGAACACGTGAATAATCATGAGGTATATAACTGTATAAGAGATCAATTTTTCGAATAATATTTATTCTTTATAATTTATATAGCTTTACGAAATAAAACTATATTAATAGTATTTGTATGTGTATATGCAGATGTATATTAGGATTTTCCAAAACAAACCTCATTTGGCACAGTAAAAAAACTAAATAAGTCAGCTAATTTATACGTCTAACAAAATCGAGAACTTTTAGTGTCTTGCAACACGATTCTTCTACACGAGTTGGAAAGTTTATTGTATAATTTAATTTTTACGACGAGGGAAATTAAATGCAGCCAAGTATCCCGGTCATATCGTAGGTAGATATGTTACACGCGGTAACCTTATACATTTCATTTGTCCCTATCAATAACTTCGTTAATGTTATATTATCTATAACTCTTTTTATTGCTAATACAAATGAGCGCAGATAGTATTTATACGTTAAATGGATCATTTGATATTCGTTGCTTATTTATAAATAATAATTTTTCGTTAAAGATAAAAAATGCATACAAATAACGAAGGAGCTTATAAAAAAAAAAATAATAAATTTTAAAAACTAACAAGCTTGAAAAGTGGATAGGACAGTGAACGGATAAAGGATATCAGAATTCGTCTCGTATCTCATTTAGCTAAGATTGTGACGCAATCCGCTGCTATATGTAGTACCTATTATTTTTTATAAATATAAATTTGAGAGGGCGACATTAATTTAGAAAAACTATTTTAAGCGGTGTACCTTTACTGCAGCTTACGTTTTGCATAATAATTGAGACGATTTATAGTGAAAAAAAAAAAAAAAAAACGTCATCTGATATTATACTTATCAGACTGCAGTCAGAATAATAATATAATATAATTATTCGGAATAAACGGAGGTTTTTAAGCTAAACGCGTCGCGGACGTTGATGAAATAATATATGGTCGCTCACCTCTGTGCAATTCCTCGATGGTCTCCTTGTATCGATCGGGGAACTGGTCGTACAGGAACTGCTTGATGATGGACGTCTTGCCCACCCTGGCTGCGCCCATCATCACCACTCGTCTCCGAATTTTCATTGTCGTACTGCCGCTGCCGCTGCCCCCGCTGCTACTGTTGCTGCAGGTCGACTCCCCGCCCATCGAAGACAGCCTGATGCGTTCCTGTTGTTGGCCCGGCATTGTTTTCCTCTCCCTGGAAAAACCCATACGCACGCCCACGCTATAGTCGAGAGACAATAATAATAGACGCCCGGCGGTATACACCTGCAATTAACGTATTATTTGTAGAGATTTGTTTCATTTAGGTACTTTTCATGACTCAAAGCATATTATAATATATCGACCGCATACGGTTATTACACTATACCAGTTGTGTAGTTCTCGATCTTTGTAATGCCGGCACCTAAATTTCCCCCGAAAAATCTTTCGCGACCCACATTGTTTGCACATTTTTCAACGATTTGTGGAAAACAAAATTTGTATTATATAAATATGCATACATTATTATTAGGTATTTAGTTTTTTTTATAGGTTTATAATAATTAATACGAATACAAATATAATTGATATAATTAAAATGTACTTTTTATAATGATGTGGTACCTAACATAAATTTCTTGGAATCTATATAATTCAAAAAAATGTTCCCGACCCACCAAAAATTGACTGACGACCCACACTTTGAGAAACGCTGCATTATACATATGGGCTTTGATTTCGTCGTCATACGTCGTCCTACACACCAGGTGTGAATAGCATTTAACGGGGAGACTAGTCTCACGGACTCCCTACAAAAACCAATGATCGATATCATTGCTGCGATTCCCTGCTTCCGCCCCTCCAAACTTTCATTTACTTTCTATAGTATTAGAACAGAGACAGCTGTCGTTCGACTGTCTCATTTGTTTTATCGCAGAATATAATAATTATATTGGTTTCACGACCGCGTCGTCCTTCGTTGTCGCCAATTCCGAAAATGGCTCCGGACGTACTATGTGCATTAATTCATACGCATATATGCACACACGACGATCGAGAGAATATTAATTATATACACGTCCTTACATTATATGGTATAGTAATTAATATAGTTGATAAAAGTAGATGAGCACACAGATTACACTAATAATAGAAAGTATTTTTAAAAAAATTTAAAAGTTTTTCCCATGTTATAATTATTGGGGAGACGCCGTCTCAAAGTTTTCCCCGACGCACCCTGTTTCGCACACAATTCGCATACGTGTTTTTGGCACTATAGGGTCTATCGATTTATTTGTTCAGTTTAGTTAAATGAATAACATGGTTCGCACAATTTTTGCTTTTAAATAACTGCCTTACTTGGAATATTATCTTTGAGGGTATAGTCTACAGTATTTTGGATTTAATTTGAAATTGTTTATAAAGTTTTCTAGATTCGTAGGAAAAGTTTCTCGATTATTTTTATGTCCTTACTCCATATTGACTACGGGTATTGACAGCTGCCGCATGTAATAAAATCGTCTAAATTATAATGAATAAACAATAAACTTTTACACGAAAATTATTTAGGGACTCACACGACAATTATTTAGAGACTCCCTCTGCCCCTCCTTTATAAGTTTGCTATATGATTATCTGAAACAGTGAGACGTATATAATTGATTCATTTCAGAAGTCAGAGAATAAAAATGTTGAGTGCAATATAAATTATAATATCAGCCAAAGGTATATATTTTCTAAGAAACTTCATATTTAATTCTATATTATAATATTCCTTTATGATTTTGTTATTGGGCCGTAATATAATCATATTACTCAAAGCTTTTAAGCTAATAAGAATTTGGGGCCTAAGTACTAAGGTTTTCAGTTTTTTTATTCTATATGATACATTTTACTATATTATTTATAATATTATTATTCAGTTAATATTCTAACAGTAGGCGCATATACTTATATATATTATATGTAGTTAGTGGTCCAAAGGCCAAGGAGGGCCAATTTAAAAAAAAACATTTATTGTTCGGAAATTCAACTTTAAAATTGAGTGATTATAAAAAAAACAACAACTAAGAATTTTACTTTTAAGTTTTGAAATTTGATGACTAAATTCCTTTTCCATTCTTCACCTATAATGAAACATATTTTGTATTTTGCGAATCCAGAAAGTTAAATTAATTTAATTTTGACATTGGCCTTATTAATGGATAATAATTATTCATTATTAACAATTAATGGATTAATTAATATTAAAAACTGACATTGGCCTTAAGCTAAATTATGAAATAATCACTTTTTATTTAAATAACATAACTTTATAATTAAAACCTAATAATGATATTACGTAAATTGCACAATGTAATTTTATCGACTTATACATTAATGAACTGATCTAAACTCGATTTCGGAATGGCTAAAGATGCAGATATATATTTTATAGATATCGAGATTGGTCTGTTATACAAATAAATAGGACTTAAAACCGTTCTCAATAAATTCGGTAATCGGCTCCGGTAGGAGCCAAAAAATTTTGGAAAACCGGTTATCGTTTAATTTTGATTTATGGTAACCGGTAACCGTTTCTTTAAAGATTTCTCAAATATTATGATAACCGTTAATCGTTTTAAAACCGTTGATAAGGTTTTTTGGTAATCGGTAACCGGTTAAAACCGGTTTTAAAAAATCATATTTTTTATTTTTTAATCATATTTTATAAAACAGTTATTTGGGTGATTCGCGGCTTGTCAACCTAATTATTATTATTACAAAATCAAAAACTCAATATTATTATGCTTTAGTTTGTTCGATTTTCACTCGATTTAAATATTTATTTTTTCAAACTTCTTTAAGGCTTAAAATAATGCCTCTCTTAAAAAATCAAATTTGCGAAGGGCAAAAATGTGTTTCTCCAAGTTTGATGAATGCTTGCCAGATATATAGGTACTTGGTACATCCCACTACGTTACTCCCACACTTACTTCTGTTACTTATACCATAAGTAAAAAACATTTGAAGAACAGGGTTCTTCATTTTAAATTTCTATGTATAATAGACTTAATAGATTTATTATTAAAATAAATCAGTTTAAACAATTTAAACATTAACCATACAATTATGACCAATGACCAAAGTATAAATTGTGACAGTGTGACAAGATATGATAACGACGTAAATCTCCGGCAACATTCTTCATTAAAATATCGTTAATACTAAATACTTAGTAGAATTTATAAGCCCCCCCCCCCCACCAACTATTTCGTAATAGAAATCAGCGGGCGACCACTACAACGACGTTTGTGACGGTATTTATAATATTATATAGATATACCTAAAGATTTATACGATATTCACAACAGATAGAGATACTCGACGACAGTTAATTGGGGCAAATAATTTAAAAATACCTTGCTGGAAAAATATATCCAACTATATTATATAATCATGACAAAATATTTATTGATTATTATTTTTAAATATATTTTCAATTTTGTGTTGTATATATTATTTAAGCATTAAATACCACGAAAAAACCGTTAATTTTGTTTTAGGGAATAGGTTTTGGTTATACAAAACCGTGTTTGAAAATACGAGGTAACCGCTTTGATGTTAATCTTTAGATATTTACCTTGATTACCGATGACCAATAAACGTTTTCAGCATTCCAAAACTAAAAGCGGTTATCGGTTTTCGGTTCTCAAATTATCGGTTTTTTACCGGTTTTCGTTACAAATTGGCTACCGGTTTTAAGCAATGCAAATAAATAATATCTATAATATATACTTCTATTGATTAATGTTAAAATGTCCAATTCATGTATTATATTTTGGTTATACTGCGTCAAAGGCATTGACCTTTTTAACACAATTAGCATAATCAAATATTTATGACACAGGTCAAATTATCTCAAATTCTTTCCAATGTCACATTGGACACCCTTTATGCGCACATACATTATATTTTTATAAAGTAGACATATTTATTATTTATGGGTTTCAAAAATATATTTTTTTTCTCATAATATATAAAATATATTGCACAGCTGATAAACTTTAACAATTAATTTAATAAAATCTACGCATTGCATTTATTAGTGATTGCTTTTGATTTAGGTATTAACTGTTTAATTTAGATTATAAAGAGATACGTAAAATATAGTAAACACTCAAACCTAAAAATGAATTTATTGATATAAAATAATTTATGGTTTTTTTTACTTTGAAAATTATACAAAAGTTAAATTTCAGTTAACCCTTGATGGCTCGATATATGTATGCATGCATGTATGTATGTATGTATGTATGTATGTATGTATGTATGTATGTATGTATGTATGTATGTATGTATGTATGTATGTATGTATGTATGTATGTATGTATGTATGTATGTATGTATGTATGTATGTATGTATGTATGTATGTATGTATGTATGTAATGCATTAATGTGTAATAATAATACAATGTAACACTCATAGTGAAATAAATATAAATTAAATTATGTTAATATAAAAACAATATGAGACTCAGATTTAAACATTTTGAAAAATCTATAATATTTTTCTGCTACATTGAACTTATAATTTTGCTTTCTCGATAACCTATTTTCGATACTTTTATAATTATATTTCGAACTTTATGTAATGATTCAATGGCCCTCAGGAAAAATAAGATACATTTATAATGATGAATTATTAACGATGGGTACGATTTAACGAATGAACACTACATATGTTATGAAACAACAGAACTATGAGTGGAAGACATTTCGAAATGTCACGTGTTGGTGACTAGTTTGTCCAATATTTTACTTCAAATTACAATTTACTGAGTGAACCTAAATGCATTGTTTTTATTCGAATATTATCATTTATCAAATGTATGAATTGTCGAGACACAACAAAACTATTAAAATAATAATAATTATTATTATTATTACAGGCACGGATCCAGAGCAAAGATCTGGAGGGGTGGGGGGGGGGGTTCTGGGCCCATAGACCCCCTCTCTGGATCCGTCGCTGAATAATAATAATTTATTTATTAACCTAAAATAACCCACCAGGGGAACCTAAATCTAAAATTATTAATTAATAATTGAGTTATTTATTTTGAGGAGGGGGCTAAGTCTTCACCTAACACCCCCGCCCTCCTTGGCTACTCTGAATTCAATTTTTAAAAATCGGGGATTCCCAACGTCCATGAATAATATTTACGGGATTAAAC